TAATATATAGAAAAATTTACAGTCCGACTTCGATCAGCGTAAATAGAAAAATATTAAAGTGCAGTAGTAGAAAAAAAATCTATCCTTCGATCTGGATCCACTTAAATAAATAAAATTGAAATCTAAAATATTCGAGAAATGGCTTGGCTTGAATCTGTGAGCACTTAACGAAATAAAATATTATATATATATGCTTACAGTTCAATTGTTCTATTGTGATCTACTGAAATGCGTGAAATATACATATATCACGATGTATAAAGATTTGCAGTTGAACTTCGATTTTGATCAACCTAAAAGAAAAAAATGAATATTCGGTAATCTGAGAAAAACACGCACACCGTCTCTAAGTACGTACTTTGTTGAACTAGGTATTATTTTATGCTTCACTATTCGATTTTGAATGAAATTGTTTTTGAAGTATCTATTTTAACTATCAAAATTTCGGGTTCACTAGGAGCAAAATTTTCAAATGTTTATTATAAAGAAACAGAAATTTATTAGAACAATCAAAAATCTTTTCAGAAACTGCTAAGCAATGCGGAAGAGAGCACATTTTTGTAGCTGAAATGTCTCACAATTGACGAATTATCTCGATATATTAATACTTTAAAAAAGTCGAAAAACAAATAAATGAATTCCTTCTCTTACAAGAAAAACAAAAAACGCTAGCCCTTTTATAATGCGCGAAGAAATAGTAAGATATGTAAAACACTTTTTGTTGCCATTGTGAAGGTGTCGTGATTGTCGGTGTTGTTTAGGTAGGAGATTTCTTGTTGTTTTTTGTTTTGATGAATCAATCTCCAGAGACAGTAGCTCATAATTATGTTTTTCTTCTGCTTTGTGTTTATGATTTGATGGTTGTTGAAATGCTGTTGGTGCACATGTTGTTGGTTCAATTCGTTTTGGTTCACTTGATGTTGATTCCATTGATGTTGGTTCCGTTGATGTTGGTTCTATTGATTCTATTGATATTGGTTCCATTGAATTGGTTCTATTGATGTTGATTTTATTGATATTGATTCAATTGATGTTGATTCCATGTATGTTGGTTGAATTGATGTTGTCATTTGAAGTTTAAAAGATACATTTTGCTCTTCATTGTTTTCACGTCTATCACTTAAATACGTATCATTAATTTTTGTTTCGTTCAGCAATGTAGCAGATGATCCCGACGAAAGATTTAATTGAAGTTGAATACTTTATAAAATTTTGGAATGAGATTTGATTGTTGTTGCCCATCATTCATGAAATAAACATAAAAATCTAGCTGCAGTACGATATGTTTAAAACGTGAGATTTATCAAACAATACACACCAACAACTAGAGCTAAAGATTGTTCAATAGAATTCGATGAGCAAATGGCGATCTAACCCACATAGATTTTTATATCATTTTCTCTAATTACCGTTGTTGGTTGGAAAGTAGCTTCTCAAAACAATCAGAAGATCAATCGTGGTAAATTAAAAGCATAGGTTTTACAGAGAATAAATGTAATAAGAACTTCTTTATATTGTATAATGAGACATTATGTCAAAGTGAAACATAACGAATTTTTCATGTGCCAAAATTTTTGATAGAAAATGAAATTTATTGGAACATGTATGTTGTTCCTGTATGGTAAGGGTGTGGCTGTGGGAGTGGGTGGGTGTGGGCGTGGGCGTAGGATGCCGATGTTTGTGAAGGTGCGTGTAGAAAACATGCTCGCAGGATTAGCCGAGACGGGACGGGAGTGAAAATATCTCGGCGGGATGGGGCGGGACACAGCCTTTGAAGCACTCCCGGCAGGCCTTGCTGGGACAGTTTTTGATCGTCCCGCCGGTCTCTGATCTGAGAGCAGTAGAGTAGCCAATCATTATAGAAGAAAAGAGATGGCGCATTAACGATTTCATTTTAGTAAATTGCAAGAAAAAAAGTGAAATCTAGAAAATGTTAAAATTCGGAAAAGAATCCTAATTCGGAAGGATTCGGAAATTCGGAAGACTTTCGGAAAAAAGTCAAAATTCGGAATTTTCCCTGTCATTTCGGAAGATCTGGTAACCCTGGATGGGTCTAAAGCCTGTGTGTCACGATCTGTGATCGGTCCAAAGCCTGTCTGTCACGATCTGTGATGGGTCGAGAGACCTGTCTGCCACGGTCTGTGATGCGTCCAAAGTCTGTCTGTCACGGTCTGTGATGGGTCCAAAGGCCGTCTGTCACGGTCGGTGATGGGTCCAAAGTCCGTGTATCACGGTCTGTGATGGGTCCAAAGCCTGTCTGTGATGGTCACGTGAGCGTCTGTTATGTTCTGTGGGGGGGAGGGGGGGAGGTGCAAATTTCTACTCCTAAACACTTTAACACTCCTTTCAGATCGTGTTTCACAAAATTTAATTCTTATCGGAAAAAAAGCTTGTTAGCGCAGGCCATTTGGAGTTGAAATGTGAAACTCAGATATACTCTTTAGCCTTACTAAACTAACACAAAATAGATGAAATAAAAAATCCTTTCTAAACTTTAGTTGAGTTCGATAAAAACCAATCAGCAAAGAAAAGATATTGTCTTATTTATTTCTGCGTATAAAAACAGAAGTTTGTTATTTGTTTCTACGGGTGCCCCATTTTTTGTTTCCATTGTTGCTATTTGCTCATTATTTTTCCTTCGTTTTTCTTAATTTAACATTCTTATTATTATAATCATTGAACTAGTTGACACGTAAGTCTATTTTACATATCCATGATACCTACAGAAGATCTTAGAGCACTATTATATATATATATTAATCAACTCGCAAACAATGATATTCATTATTTT